AGATGTGTAGTTATCTAAGTATGTGTAGTGTAGTTGTGCTTATGTGTGTGTATGTCTGTATGTATGTATGTATGTATGCATGCCGTGGATGGATGGATGGATGGATGGATGGATGGATGGATGGATGGATGCATATGTGTGTGCGTGTATGTGTGTCTGTCTGTCTGTCTGTCTGTCTGTCTGTCTGTCTGTCTGTCTGTCTGTATGTATGTATGTATGTATGTATGTATGTACGTACGTATGTACGTGTGTATGTTTGTTTGTCTCTATGCATCTATGTAACAATGCATGTATGTGTCCGTATGCGTCTCTACACATGTACATGTACGTATATCTGCTGTGGAACCAAGCTCGTCCCCATCATGACTCGCATCGTGTGGCTCGGCATCGCAGTGTCTCCAAAAAAGCTGATGACGTGATGACTTCAGTGCCGCACCGCTGTCACCACTGTGCCCGCAGCCAGTATGGCGAGAACCGGCCACCTGGCTTTGAGCTGACAGAGGCCTCTGCCCCAAAGCGTGCAAAACCCCTGCCTTGAGGCATCATCAGCTTTAGCAGGGCCCTCTCCTCAGGAAAGTCCGAGAAAGCTGTTCAAATCGAAGCTGCGAAACTTCTGTAAAATGTTCATGCCTCTTCCAGGTGTCTCACGGCCCCCCAGGCCAGTGATGCCGCCAGAGACCATGGAAGGCAAACGAGGAATGCAATCCACTTGTTTGCTTGGCCAAGTGCCCTTCTCCCTTCTAGTACATTGCCTTTGCTGTGAAGAGGGCTCGGGCTGAGACATCTACCTTGGAAGACATGGGTGTCCTGACACACACTTGGTGCCTGCATTTTAACCAGCCTTTCTAGCCTGTTGTCCATGCACATACCACAGGATTGACAGCATCTTCTTAGCACAGCCGTCTTGCTGCTGACAGCTGCAGAGTCTGCCTCAACATGGTCTTCAGCGTACATGCAGCAACGGTTCTCCAATACTGCCTTGACATGCTTTCAGGAGGCCTGACCTCACAGCATTCACAGCATCTCGCCTGCTCGTGTGAAGAAACCATCGGCAGTGTTCCTCGGCTGCAAAGCTCCGAGCACGGAAAGACAGAACATTGCTACCCATGCTCGACATCTTACAGAGCAGGGCTCGCGTCTGCAAGAAACGACCCAGCTCGTCCAGTTCCAGTTCCGACACATGCCTCCCCAGAAGTCAAGACAGCTGCTTTCTGCCAGGGAGATGAAATCACAAGTGTCATCTGTCAGCAAGCCCTGCCATCCCGCTGATGTCGTCTCACCGTTCTCCTGAGCACAGCTTGCCGGTACGAAGGCATCTGAGAAAGCCTTGGCCTTCAAAAGCAGCCTGTGTGGGAACGCTAGGAGACGGGTCATCCTGCATGCGCAACCGTGACCATACTCCACGCGGGTTTCCGGAGCCTTGCCTCTGCCCAGCTTGAACGAAGCTTGGCCATGCGCGCCTTCAATGCTGAGAGTCGAAAATGATGTCTCTCAGGTCTTTCGCTTACGAGCCTCAAAATCATCTTCAAACAAAGAGGCAGCGGTTGCACCACTGCCAACATCGAGGCCATCTGCGCAGCTGCACAATGACAAAGGAAGGCATGTTTTGTAGGGACCTGTTGGGTATTCATTAGGGTTGTTTACATGAATCCTAATATTTTGGGGTTATAGGGCCAGGCATTTTGGATCAGGTTCCTACATTACTTGCCTACGCGTACGGATTCCTTGCTAGTAGGGTGAAATATGCGGAAAGGAACCTTCGCAGCGCACACGACCGCCTGCAGTGCCAAGGCAGAAAGATGTAGAACAGCCCAAACGAGCATCCGCAATGCTACGTCAAGCCCAGCATGCACAACTGCCCGAATGCCAACCCGTGCCAAACCCCATTCCCAAAGGAATCAGAGTGCAAATATCGGCCGAAGCATAGGCTCGGAAACAGACAAAACAAAGCCTCCTCAGAGTCAGAGGCGGCTAGTGCATGACAGGGCTGTCGGCTAAAACTCGCCAAGCTCAGCGAAGCTAACGAGAGCTCTAGCTGCACCCTCACGGAGCTCTGATCCCTGCATCGACCTCAACGGTGCCTCGGACAATACAGTTGCCTGCATGCAGCTGGCTTGAGGAAGCAGGTGCAGAGCTCGGCATGCGTTCACATCTTGCCTCAAGCGAAGCACGAACGACATGCCAATACATTCGCTCACCACTGCTGGGCAGCATCGCCTTCAACTAGGTCTGCTTGCATTGCGCTAAGTGCAACCAATTCGCCACGGCATCTGCGCAGTGGAACTCCATGAAGTCTAGGTCCTTGCAACCCTTCGATTTCTCCCGCTGCATGATAAACAGAGCATGACAACAGTATGACAAACATGCTCCATGAAGCTAAAGAAGGCACCACAAGGGGCGGAATCCCGTGTGGACTGGCATTTTGACGGAGTACCTCAACAAAGTGGTTGCAATAAGGACCGATTCTCTCGCAGATGGCAGGATGCTGTTTCTCGCAGGCAGGGCATCACATCACTCTGGATACATCTTCGGCATCAGTGAAACGGGTAGGTGGTCAGAGACGGTCAGATGCTCACGAGAAATGCCGAAAGAGCCTCAGACGGGTCGGAAGATGCCCGCACCGGCCATGAGCATGTTTGTATGTTTTTTACCGATCCTGTCATTGTTGTTTCTACTGTAAATATCTTTTGTCACAGTGTTCATTTGCTCTTGAGCCTGGGGAACTTCTTCTCTAGGCCTTGGACCTGTGTCTGCCCCCCTCAGACCTGAGGCAGAGGGTCGTACCATTTCTTGGGGCACCATCGGGCGCTGCTCTACCAGCAACTTGAACGTCCAGTCGGACTTTCTGGGACATCACGTACCATTCAAGAATCTTTGGCCGGACTAGAGAGTATCGGCAAAGGAGAACATCGAAGGTTGATTTTTGTTGACGTGCAAATGCAGCTGCAAACTTTCAGTCATACTGTCAGGTCACGGCAGCACTTGCAAAAAAGGGACAGTCGCGCCAGCAGTCCAGCGTGCTGATGTCCCAGACTTCCCTTCCGGAGGAGCTGTGGTCGGACAATTCCTTCAGAAAGCAGAACTCTCTCTGCATGTCTCAGACGGTATCGACTTCTGCCAGTCCGTCAGAAATAATCCATTCCAAGATGCACTTCTGCTTCGCGCTTCGATCGGTCAATCTTACCTTTTTGAAAGATCATGTGCGGATGTTGTGGCTCGACTGTCTTGCTCTCTCTTTTGCGACGTTCATCGTGCGCTGCTCCCAGCACTGCTTTGATTAAGACTCTGATTCCGATACTTCTTAGTCTTGGCTGTAGGAGAAAGAGGACGACGACGACGAGCGGCTGCCTCTTATGTCTGTGGCTTCTGGTACTATGGACATTGCTACTACTCTTGCATTCATGCTGCTGTTGCTTTGTCCTTGTAATTTGTCACGACCCTTTTGCATGAAGTGCTTTGTGATGACTACGGTAGCAATGGTGCTGACGAGGTTGACGTCAACTCCAAGTGACCAATGCCGGTGCTACTGTTGATGATATAAATCCTGCATTACCCATAATAAGGAATATACCATAACTCCCATGGTCTAGGGTCCTTAAGGTCATGCGGGATTTATATCATAAGCGTAGTAGCCTTTGCTCGGTAGTTTCGCTGCTTCGGAGCGCTGCTGACTGCCATTACTTGTCCAAAGCCGATGTGTCGTCGGAATTGTGTTGGGCTTTAAGCTTGCACTCACTCCAAATGGCATAGTCAGTCTTGGAGTTGGTATGGCTGTTCTGAACATGTGGACTAACTATAGATCCTGCGTCGACAGGCACAGTACGGATATCAGCTGAGCATCCCCAAAAATCATCTCCCGCTCTGTGACCGTCTTTGGTGCTTCGATGACCTGAAACTGTGGCTTCTCATGGCTGGAGATGCCCGGTTCCAAGTTTGGGGAGCTAAGGAGTGCAGCTTCTATGCACGGCCTCTCAACAGTCAACAGGTGCACAGTTGCACCTGGCAGTCCGAGGTGCTAATGCTTATGTTGCTGCTGGGTGACCTTTTACGTAATGGTAGACATGAATCTTGTCAGCTTTCGAATCGTACCTCCGCAGCTGCCACTGAACAGTGTCCGGCATGCCGCTCTGACCCAACGACTGTGATCGGCTAAACTTCAAAGCTAGGCTCGCCACCACCCACATTCCCATTTGCGATTGTCCCTTGGATGAACAAAAATCGGTATTCTCGAACTCCAGTCCATGAACAGAGAAACAACAACGAGTGCGGCACCCTATGCTTTCTGTTCGTGCATATGTGTGCTGGAATCGCAGACGCGGCTTCCCCTGCAGTCAAGATGCCCAGCCCAATCCTTGTTGACCCATTGGATCTTGTTTTTCATTGTCCCACGATTGCATAGAGCCTCATACAATCCACCGCTTGATGCAAAGCAGGCTGGGGTTGTGGCAACTGAGGGCAAAGACTTTCTTGTCATCCTCGGACGTGGAAAGCTTTGTCGTGTGACCATTCCAAAGCCTCGACAGCATGCTGTTGCGGAATGTGCTGCACTGCAAGTTGCCTGAAGTGAAAGTGTGTAGCATGTCGCAGGCCGTAAGACGCAGCTTTAAGATTACAAACTCCAACACCGCCAGGACGCTTGAACGCGCCGTCGCAGAAGATTTCCACGTCTTCGAACCTGACCGGCATGACTGTGTCAACTCAAATCGCTTGCACTGCACCAGTCCTTCACATCACTCTAGAATTTGCTGAGACACTTGTGATTTCTTGACCATCCGTCATAGTGCACCTGAAGGCCCCACAGCAGAAAGAAGGGCCTTGGCCACTGGGCCGGGATGGGCAGAAACGGAATCTGCCTTCCACTTGCCGGCGCTCTCTGCAAAGGTTGGGTCAGTCACCTTAAGACTGAATGCAGAGAAGGGCCATGCCATCGCGAACCCAGCTGCAAATAGCAACGAAGGCAGACAGGTGACAACATCTTCGCTGTGCCTACCTGCAGTCAGCCGATTAGCAGCTACATCTGAATGTGATTTTGCTAACATCTGTCGGTGGCACGCTTGCGTTTTGGATGCACACATACATATGATGTAACTTATGTACGAGTGTTGGCAAACAAAATCTCTCAAGATCCGACGCAGCGAAGTAAATTCCATGGAGGATCTGCGCCTGTCCCACTGTCATCGTCCAGTTGCAGGACTCCTTCGCTCGTTTAGCCACGTCTGCAGACTTCTGGCGAAGAAACAAAGTAGTACTCATACCCAGGTTCGGCATGGGCTAAGGCGCTTTTGCCTTTTTGCCAAGGAGCCTTGAGGAGAGACGGCCACACTCACCAAACCTGCAAAATTGAGGGTTTTGCAGGTTTGGAGGGGAGAATATCTCCTCTTGTCGGTTGAGTCGACCGTCAGGCACTGTAGCGGAACTGTGCTGCTTCAAGCTTGGGTCCGTCATGCTGGAAAGGGACCACAGCATCACTTATAGCTTCCACATGCCTCGACGAGGAGCTTGCTTCCGGACGAACTCAGAGGCAGTGCCTCCAGTTTCATTGATTCGAAGTGCTGGTGCATTGCATCACCATGCCTGCATGAGAGCCGTGAGAACCGACCGCAACTGCCAGGAATAGAAGAAGCCACATGCGGACCTCCAGGTACAGAGGCTAGCCGTGCAACCATTGTTTCAACGCATCGAAAGCTTCCGCACGTGAACATGTCGTGCCTCAGTCCACATGAATGACCTGACTACCACCACTGAGAGCCAAACATTACCCCGGAGTAGGTCGCATCAGCTCAGTTAACAATCCATGCTATGCAGATCTATGCAGCCTGTAGACTTCTGCCCAACCTGGCCCTGGCGCACGTGCAAAAGTTGCTGAAGGATTCGTCTCGCGAGGGCAGCCTTCCGGATTGCGTTTGCAGATGCAGAGGCTCTCAGCCGACCGGGCAGACCGCCTGTCCGTTTCTGAGAAGCCAGATCAGGGTATCGGGATGGTAGGCCTAAGCCATCTTCGTCACTGTGTCACAGCTCTCGCCCAAGTGGTTCTTCCTTTCTCTTTCCATGTCATGCCTTCTGTGGCTTGGCAAGTGCTCGGGGCAGGACAGGGCACGGTGCAGAAGCTTGCAGGCGTCCTTGCGTTTGCTCACTGTCGACCTCCAACCCTGCAGAACCCCCAAACGGACCTAAGAAACAACGGAAGCACAATCCCGTTTTGGGATTGTGTCTTCCAGCCCATCGCCTGGCATCCTGAGCCCTGAAAGCCCTTCGTATCAAGGGAGCAGAGCTCCTTGAGCTGCGGAAGGGAGTGAGGCAGCCACCACGGCAGGCCTGAAGAAGCGAGGTCGGTGTGTCGAGTCCCTTGGCCTGGTTTCCCCTCGGAAGTCCGGAAGTGCCTGCGAGGTCCGCCTTCCCCAGGGCCCGCACAGAAGCCGGCCTGGAGCTGCTCGGCTCTCAGCAACCAAAAAAGCCCGCTGATTAGCCGAGGCACGTGGAGAAGCGCACCCTCCATGCATACGGCTAGAAGCGATCCCTGCTCCAGGGGAAGAGCCTGCGAGCACGCAGAGATGCAGACCGCTAAGCAGACCGCACTGCAGGGAGCAATAGATGCGGAAGACAGCCAATGAAACTGGACAATGCTTCTTCGAAAGAAGCTTTCTCTTGGCAAAGCACTCACTACGGCACCATGGCCTTGACGAGGCCCTAAACCGCAACTTGGCATTCCCAGTCGGCCGACGTGAATCTGCTCAAACCAAACAAAATTTCAGAAACCAAACCAAACCTGAAGACGGCAGCCACCCTGTTGCGGATTCCCTGCAACCTTCTTCGTGCCAGTACTTTGCGCTACTCCAAGGTTAGTGTCGTGTTCTGCATGCCCTGCATCTCCATGTCACTTTCCGCATACATATGTTGCTAGCACATTGGTGCGACTGGCTTCAAGATTTCCACAACTTTGAAGGCTGTCGTGACAAACCTCTGTAACAACTCACAAACGAGATGACACTTCCAAGAGCGGGAGCGGGTGAATGTAGACTGAGCTTCCTCAGAACTACAAACTCCACGGAGACACATCTTGCGCAAGGGTATCAGCCGAGCACCTCCGGATGCAAGTCCACAGCATGCCAAATGTCGCCACTGTTGCCTCTCTGGCCTTGAAGCAAGCGTGCTGTTTATGCTCTTCACAGCTGTCGTTGTTCCACTGTGTCGCCGAGCAGAGCAGCGCGGTTGCGGGCGCAATTGAATCGCTTGCAGACGCCGCTGCCGCAAGAAGCAAACCACCGCCTGGAGGGGATATGCAGATATCACGACAAGAATTTGCATGCATGAACACATCCCTGCTCCTGCGCAGCGATGGAGGGAGAGATCACCCTGCGTGAAATGGCCGGATGCATCCTCAGGTCAGAGCTTGGACCTGAGAAATCTACTCAGGCTTCCGCTCTCCGGACCAGGGCGCAGGCTTCGCTGATTGCCACGGTTCTGCCTCAGATGTTCGAGCAAGGAAGTGGCCCTGGAATGGGAGCGTGCTCAAAAGGCTCCGGCCACTTTTGTTCACGGGTCCATCACGATTCCACGGTCGAAAAGGCACAGTGTCGTCTCCGGCACCGGGGCCTCTTCGGGAGCATGGACAAATCCAGTTTTCAGACAAGGGCCTTTAGGGTTTAGGATGGCCGACCTTCTCGTTTGAGCTGATGCGTTGCCAGAGTGTGGCTGTAACTGAGCCTGTCGTCTAGACAGCAAAGTTGTTCCAAAACGGCAATCTCTGTCTACATCGTGGTCCTCTCTGGCAACGGACACAAATCATGCTTCGAAGGTTTCAGAACTCTATAGTGAATGCAAGTGTATCAACAGCGCCAGTCCCCAACATGCAAGGCAGGCAGGACATGTCCCAGATCGCCACCAGCGAGGGACCACACGAGAATCTGACAGGAGCTCTGTCTGAGCTTCAGTTCTGTCCAGTTCTGTGAAGAAGCTGCCTCTGCACGAGTAGTCAGTGCGACCAGGAATTCGTCGCAAAGCTTGAGACGCAGAACTCCACCTCGGCTTGGCCACAGAGAAGACTGGGCAGCAGCTCTAACTGAGCCAGGATCAAAGGACGGGAAAAGGGCCTTCAAGCTTTTACCCGTATTTCCCCGGGCCTGTTAGGGCTGCCCTGCCTGGCAATGATCATGGACCCGAGAGCTCAGGGCCACTGGTAGCCAAAAAGCCCTTGATGCTCGAGCTATCGCAGGCGCGGAAAGCTCTGAGTATAATTCACACAAAGAAAGAAGAAATTAGAAGAGCAAATAATTACAGCAATAGTAATAGTACTAACAATAACACTTATGATACAATATGAAACAAGGAAAATATTGACAATAATCAACAAAAGGAAACCTCTTTGGGCAGCGACCTTGAAGCGTCTCACTGGAGCTCAGCGGTGCCGCGAGCGTCTCGCCGACGCGGACCTTTTCGGTGGACGTACGGAACCCACAAGCTACAAGAAGAAGGATAATAGTGGTCATCATAATACTGATACGCATACTAGCACCAAGAGGTTACGGGATAATAATAGTAGTAATAGAAGTGATAATAATACTAATAATAACAATACTAATAATAAGAACAATAATAATAATAACAATAACAATAACCATAATAATGCTTGTTGTTATAGTTGCTATTATCGTCATGACTGGTACTATCATGATTATGGCTTTCCTTTAACTGTTATTTTGAATCTTGCTATTATTGTTATTGCTGTTATTGCTACTAGTATCGTTATTATCGCTATTTCTGATATTGATAGTACTTCTGTTATTATTCGTATTTCTGTTAATGTTGCTGTCACTAATATTCATAATATCTCTAGAATTACTAATATTATTACTAGTACAAGTATTGTTATCACTACTCTTATTGTTATGAGTCATTATTATTGCTACTATTGTTGGTATTGTTGTTACTCTTACTGTTAGTACTATCAGCACTACTACTACTACTACTACTACTACTACTACTACTACCACTACTAAACTACTGAACTACTGAACTACTAAACTACCAAACCACTAAACTACTAAACTACTAAACTACTAGACTACTACTACTACTACTACTACTACTACTTCTACTTCTACTTCTACTACTACTACTACTACTACTACTACTCCTACTCCTAGTGCTACTGCTACTGCTACTGCTACTGCTACTGCTACTGCTACTACTACTACTACTACTACTACTACTACTATTACTGCTACTACTACTGCTACTACTACTCCTGCTCTCGCTGCTGCTGCTGCTGCTGCTGCTACTACCACTACTACAACTACTACAACTACTGTTATCGTGATTATTATTGCATTGATTACCCTATTAATTTTGTTGTGATATTATTATTGTTGTTCTTGTTGTTACTATTTTCTTATTATTATTATTATTAGTACTATTATTATTGTTATTATTATTTTTGTTATTATTATTGGTAGTAGTAGTAGTAGTAGTAGTAGTAGTGGTAGTAGTAGTAGTAGTAGTAGTAGTAGCAGTAGGTAGTACTTTTAGTATGATTAGTAGCATCAGTATTTTTGTATTATTATTGTCATTATTATCATAATTATGACGTGCTTCTTGGGTCTCCGGGTCTCGCGGGTGTTGAGAGGACGGTCCAGATGAGTTTAATTCTGTTGCCACGCATCTCGAGGTGAAGCTTTCGATCCCCATTGTCACGCATCAGCCCGTTTCGGGAAACCATTGGAGGTTTGCCCCTCAATACCAGTTCGATCTGGTATGAGGCATCCCCGGCATTGCTGAAATTACTAGTATCTCAGGGATTGGCGCAACCCTGGTTTCGAAGCCTTCCCCCTATGGATCCAATCCCAAACTTTCCTTCGATCCAACAATCCTCTTGGTGCTTGAGGAGTCTAAAGGGGCGTGAATCCGCTGCTGTCTGCTAGTCTGCTCTCATCACTTTTGCTAAGACACCACTCAGAGTAGAGGTGATTGAGATCAAGCTAAAGCTGCAGCAAGTGAGGGGCGAACAGCACCTGTAGTCGGATCCTGCCAGAGAGGCCGCTTCGTTGAGCTCGTCTTGACTCAGACACTATGGCCTCAATCTCCAGGGTCCGAATCACCACTTCGTCTGATTCAGGCGCCCAGAAGGCAAACTGACCAGAGACATCCTTGGTATCAACTCAGAAGAGACATGATCAACTGCTACGACTTGTCTTCACTTCCTGGCGTCGCATGGCCCGCAGCCCCCGCTGGCTGTCAAGACACGCCCTCTTTCATGGCGGCGAAAGATCCGAGCCTCGGAAGATGAGAAAACGGCAGCTCAGAGATTCAATACCTCAACTTCGTGGCCGGTGGTTACTGGACGTCAGGGGTTGGAAGTCTCTGCAGTCCGAAAGGCCCTGCATGTCTGTTTAAGCACAGCAGAAACATTGGGCCCTGAATCCTGGCTGCACAGGGTGGGAACTGCCAAGGGCGGAGAACACTGAAGCTCAGGTACTCCGACGAAGCACAAGCGACAGCCTTACAATGTGCTAGGACTCTCGATGCCATGTTGGAAGGCTTCCTGTGAACCTTCTCCGCCGCCCAGCTAAGGACTGCTCCACTCCAATGCAAAGGCTCCCAGCTGAGGACAGGATGCCCACAGCCTCCGGGCACCATGCGGACTTACATGAACAGCAGCATGAGATGACCTTGCATGAGTGACGTTGCAGCCGCCTGTGACGACAGATTGGTTCGAGAATTGGTGCATCTGAGCTGCTGCTTGACACCTGTTCAGCCAGTTCATTGCTCAACCTCGACTAAACTGCTAGTGTCCATGCTCGGCCACACATGTCGAGACATCACTCAGCACCGGGAAATGTGACAACACCCTTCTGCCTCCACACGTGCCAGGACGAAGAAGAGGTCATCATCGTGCACCAGCAGAGAGAGCACGTCCCCCGCCTGCAATGATTTCTATTTAGAGACTTTTGGCTCGGGTCACAATGCTCACGTCTCTTGAATATGCGTGGGCCATTCGACCTTGCTGGCTTGCATCTGCTGAACGTCCCGAACCGGCAGGTGAGCATCTGACTTCCACAGCACCTGCCAGGACATCCACACACGACAATAGCTCCAAGCGTGCCGCAGGCCTCGCTCCATGGCTGCAGCGTGCCAGAGATGTCCAGGGACGTAGCGAGCGTGTAACCTCTCCCGAAGCCCAGGAGTCGGGGAGGCAGTCGATGTCCAGGGATCCAAACCAAACTGGTGAAACTGGGGCCTCACAGGAACAGGTGTGGGCAAAAGATCGCCAAAGTCTGCACAGAGTCGCGTTCGCTCTCAGTTCCGGGCAGTCTGCTGTGCTCAGTGCTTCATCGCTTAAAATGTCACCTGCAGAATCAGCATCCCTGCGATACTACTCTTCGTAGCAGCGTAGCATGCCATCAGCTGTTGCATCGACCTTGAGGCAAGCGATAGCGTCCCGAGTCAAAGCACGCACGGGACCTCGCAAGTGTCGAGTCAGTGGGTTGCAGTGGGCTACTACAGTTCTCGTTGTAGAATGAAAGCACTCCGGCCCAGCAGCTCGGGAATTTCCGCCACCCAGACGAGCGTTCTTCCGCCGCTCAGGAGCAAAGCGAGCAAGCCCCAGTATTCGTGCAGCGCCATATCCACTACCTCGAAACGTGGCGACTCCTGCATAAAGCAGCTTGAGGTGCTGCGCAGAAAGATGTTGCAGACGTGGCAGCAGCAGTCCTCAAGCCGCTTGGCATCTGGCAAACAGCAGCACGGAAGCACACTGCCTGGTCACGCCAGAGGCAGTGTGAGGCGGTCGACAAGGCATTCGCCGTATGGAATGTGGCCTGCGACCGCGTCTACGGACGTCGAATTCTCATCGAGGCAAATCCGCCGGAGATCTCCACCTCAAAACGCCAGCTTCTAAGTACGTGCATCACTTTAGCGCCTTGGGGACCCGAGCTTGGAGAGCAGAGCCACGCATTGAAGGAAGCGCTTCCCGACTTCTTCACCGAAAAAAGTCCTCTCCCGATCAGAGTATCGCAGTTTTCGTCACATCTGAAGAAGGCCGAAACCTCCGCTGCGCCCATAGCCCGCACTCTGGTCAAACCCAGGGAGCTCGGGCAACTGCGCAGCGAGGACACGTCGCGTCCGAAATCACAAACCAAACGCCGCGCCTTGCGACAGATAGAAAAGAGAGGGCCCTGCCCTCCTGGTGAGCTTTGGAGCTCGATGCACCACGTGGTCTCGCCCGTGACCACCTTCGGGGCTTTGTAGGCAACTTGACCAACTTGCAGTGACTTCACTTACCGGGTCCGACCAGCTCGGCTTTGTGGGGCCCTTCAGGCCGCACATGAGCTGAATGACGAGTGGGGCGCAGTGGTAGTGATTCTGACTGCTCGCCCCACCAGTCTCGCGCATCCTGATGGCTGCGGGATCTATGCATGCGGACATCCCAGGAAGTCTCTCCTCTAATTCTTCGGTGTCTTTGCCGACCCAGACCATCGCAGACGCTTGGAGGTCCGAAGCGGACCAGCGGGCCTCGCCAGCCGCAAGCGCAAAAGGAAATGAAGATTTCTGCGGTGCCCGCCTCTGCTACGAAACCAGGAGTTTCTTCGAAGGCAGACTCTCGCCAGACCTGGCTGTCAAGTATGGCTCGGAGTCTAAGAGTCTAGGCAGTTGTGGAGACAGATCTTGCTTGCGTATCTTGCGTAAGCAAGAGATGACAGAAGGCCTGTGACAATGGTCAATCTTTGTGGTTTGCACGCCGAGCCGCTGTGATGTCCCGCTGCAAACCGAGAGTTGCGAGAATTGCGGACCCGCGCCTCAAAGTCCAGAGGTGGGCTTTGGGATTTTGAGCACATCTGGGCTGCGGCCACGGCAGCTTATCCGACAAGGCACGCAGCAGGTGCCCAGCTTGCAGCTTGGCAATGCCCCTGCAACACCTCGCCCGACGTGCAAGTCAAAGGGCTTCTGTGTAACCCAGCCCTTTCAATTTAACGGCTATGAGACTGTCCAGCTGGAGGCTCTCTGCCTCCCCGCAGCAGCCCAGCAGCGTCTCTGTGACGGCACGCCGTCGGAAGGCAGTGGCCTCACAAGCATCGAGTCGCGGTCAGAGGCTCAGCACAGCAAAGTCCCTTTCTGCCTTTGGAAGCTCTGAAGCCCACCAGGTCCTGCTTGCACGGGAGTTAACGCCCGCAAAAAAAAAACAAGCCCCAAGGACCCAACCAAGGACTCCTGACGAGGCCGGTCCGGTGGACCGTGACAAGGAATCGCTCGGAGGGGTCCTCAAGCTATCACAACCGCAGCAGCAAACGCAGCAAACGCAACAGCAAACTCCTAGAAGAGGAAGAAGACCAACAGGAAGACTCTTGAAGCAGTCCAGCGCCAGGGGAAGCCAAGATGCCAATTCTAGTTCGCTCAGCTCGTCCATTGGATGCCGCGCCGAGGGAGCAGTTGCCGAGAAGTGGTCTTCGACCTTGCACGGCCACACACCTCAGCAGATGACTGCTGTGCTGCTGGGAGGCTGACTCATGATCATGGTTCTCTCTTACTTGGGCACCGGCACAGCTCCGGGCCAGCAACCAGAAGGTGCGATCGCGCCCAGCACAGGGCGGTGGCTGGATGCATGCCCAACACATGGAGGCGAAAGTGCGCTAGCCTCAACAAAGCCACAAAGTCTTGACAACAAGTATTGCTACCAGACCAGACTTAGGCTAGAGGCCCGTCTGTGGCGCTGAAAATCTGTATTTTCGCCATCGCCGCGTTGATGCTGAGCACTGCGAGAACAGGGTTCTTCTTGTGCCAAGCCTTGGGTTCTCAAGGGACGAAAATTTGCCGCCTCGCCAGTCTTCGCACCCCGTGCTGTGCTGAAACTGCCAGGAGGCCAGGGCATCGCAGCGCTGCTCGAAACGCTGCTTGCGCCGAAGCGAATCTTCGAAGAAGACAAGGAAGGCGGGATCGCCTCCTCGATGAAAGTCAGCTTCGTGGTGCTTGTGCGGTGAAACCATGTGAAACCCACCCAAACACACCTGCCTGTGCCCACGGCAATCAGTTGCAGCTCTGGATGCGCAGCACAAATGGCGCAACCTCCTGTCTGCCTCAGATGGCAAGGCATTAATTACCTCTTGCCTATCCCCGGGCGCCGCTATCAGAATCCACCATCCACGGCACCGCATCACTGACGCCGAGGCAGCAAACTTTGCTTTGAGTGCTGGGCCATTCTCTCATGAGCCGCCCCCGGGAAAGCCACCGCAGGTTCCCGAACGACCATTGGTAGTGCTCAACTACTGTGTCCTGTTTCACATCCCTTGCACGTGGCGGGCGAGAAAACAATGCTTGTCATGTACTGAAAAGAGGTAGACTGTTCTGAGATGGCAATGAGCATTCTGTTTCATGCAAGCTACTTGCACTGTGACTTTGCACGACTTTGCAGAACAGTGGCTTCCCGATTGAGATAAGCAATGTCGGGGTGGTGCTTGTTGATGCGCTCAAAAATTCAGTGCTGGTTGAAGCGAACACTAAGTTCGCCACACTTGCAGTCTGGCTTGAGCATGAGGCGCGCTTTTGCTGAGGGCATGTGTTTCTGGCCCATATCTTGTGAGCTCGAATATCGCTTTTTGGTAGGCTTAGGCAAGACACCATTGACTTGTCTATGATCTGATGTGAGCACTGAGCTCCAGATCCCCCACTCGCTGAGGTGGGCCAAGCACAAGAGATGTGAAGATTCGGAGGATTCTCCTCCATGGAAGTCTGTCACATGAACTCTACCCGACTCTACCCGAAACCGCGGTGACTATCTAGCTCAAGCTGCCACTGGCACTACCGGTGGTCACGCTCATCTAGCTACTCCCTGTCGCCGGCCTCCTCCAACTCAGCATCAGAACCGATCGACGCACAGATGCTCTCCATTGCCACTTCGGGAGAAGCCGGCTTCAGATGAGGCCTAAATCATGTTCAGGAGAAGAGGTCTTCCTTGGGAAGAGTTCTCAGCCCCTTCTAGGAACTTCACTAGCACTAGCAGACAGAAGTCTGTCGGCTCTAAATCAAATCAGGTGGAAAACAGGAGAGGGCGCCGATGCCAGCCACCTTGGCAAGAATCCAAGTTCGCGAGAGAGCTGCAAGCAAAGTCATGCAAGGCGCCGGGCCATGCCAACCCTCATATGGAATATGAGGGTGCTGTGGCCTCAGTGTGTCGCTTAAGGCTTAAAACTCCCAGCTACAGAACCAGCTGCTGGCCACGACAAGTGGTCGGGAAAACTGGACGAGCGACTCTAAGCGACCTGCTTTTACGACTGAGTTGCTGCCGATTCCGATCTTCATCCTCAGCATTCTTGTCCCTGTAAGCTCTGGAGAATCGCCACTGCGATCCGACATGTGATCTCTTGATTTCTGACTGGAAGCTCCCTAAGGGCCAAGCAGGCGATACTGACCAGGTCCCAATTCCTTAGACAGCTCCAAAGGCTCTCGCCAAGCTGGGCAGGCATGGTCATAAGCTGCAGGCACTGATGTCCTTCAGGTACTTCGGAGACAGGCCCTTGAGGCAATCCTCCTGACACACAACAGGACCACTTGTGCAAGCGAGGCGAGTGCGGGAAGGTAAGGCCGGTACATTGTCAACACGCCTCTCCTTGCAAAAGGAGAAACGCGGCGCGGACTTGGCCTGAGTTCTGATGCACCGACGCATATCCGGAGGCAATGGAAGTGCGCTGTCTGACATGATCATCACATGAGCGGCACACTCGAGTCAGGCGTGAGGCCAATACCTTCCAAGCGAGCACACAGACAAGAGAAGTGCACACAAGCACACCGTGCAGGCTTCTGAAACGCATCACTTCAGCAACAGAGAGAATGCATGCCGCGACGTGAGCACATGGCGCAAAGGATCCTTGTGAGCGGCAAGATGACGAGCGAACTATGTGATGAAATTTGCACCGCAGGCAGTCTAAACTCTCTCGTCCCTGCACATCTTCTGATGTCTCTGTCCGCAATGCTCGGTGATGTTCTATCCAACCGTGGGACGGTGTTTAATCGAACAAAGACAGCACATCCAGTAGTTACTCTAATGGGTGTTTCTAGAACACTACCTAGCATCTCCCAGCAGTACATTACACTTGGAACTCTATGGCCAAAAGACCAAAAGGGAAAGGATACATGAACAAAGACAATGGGTGAAAAGGAAGCGCGCGTTGTTCCTTTTATCCTTTCAATTGTGTCCTTGGAGTTGTTCGGTGTCGCGTGTGTTTTTTAACTGAGTAAGGCATGCATCATCTTCGTTTCTATACTCATTCGGTTAAAGCAAGACACGCACAAGGAAACACCTCTGCGAGGATATGATGAATGAAGAAAGACAACTGCTACAAAGAACATAGTGAATGTCACGCGTGCTTTCTTTGTTCAACATTTCGCACGTGGTTTCGTTCACGACACGCTGAGTTATGTTGAATTGAACCATGCATTCTCTGTGCTGTGTAAATCAAGTGAAAGCAGAGCGTGTTGTTCTCTCCACTGAATTGAAAATCATCTGCTGGTTCGTTTCAAGTCGTTGCTTTCATTTCAATTATGCATCCGTTCATGCAGTGCCATCATTTCACTACATTTGAATCAAACTTATGAGGAACGAAGTGAACGAATGGGAACGCAACAACCAATCAAATTAAACAAGTGACAGGTAATGAAAGCATGCGTTTCTTGTGGTTGATCTGTGCTTTTGCTTCGTTCGGTCGTTTGTTTTCTTCTCTTATTGAACCATGTGTTCACTATATTTGTTTATGTTTAATTAAAACAATAAAAACAGGACCCTCTTGATGCAGTAGGGAAAGTAAAAGCCCTAATTTCGTTCTTTCGCGTTGCCTTTTGTCAATGAAAGAAAATGAAGCAAGACCAAAGGCAAAGCAAATAAACGCGATTGGTCTTTGATTCGTGGTGTTCTCTTCATCTGTCATGCTGGCGTCCCGGTGGATACTTACTCAATGGACAGGCCCCGCATAACGAGCAGGGCAGGGTCAAGATCAACCGGGGTCGAAAAGGATCCGCTATGGCACTGCTCGGATCAGCTGGTGTTCCGGACAACTCGGAAAGCAAATTCGAACACAAGCAGGACAAATTCAGCAAAACAGAGCAATTGTAAAAGGAATGACTGGTTCCCCAAAACCCAAAGACCCAAAAGGAGCGGTTCGTGCAACATAAACAAACAACATAGTAGCCACCATATCCCAAACGCAGTGAGTCGTCTAGAATCCGAAAAATACAAAAAAGGAGTGGCTCCTTGTCAAAACCCCAAACCTAAACCATCAGCTAAAATAAAACAGAGTGCATGGTTCCAAAAAAAATCCAAAATCCCGAAGAAGTAAGTGGTTGCGAAAAGAGAAACCTAAGCTGGCCCTGAAAGATACGATACAATTCGCACCCCTAAGTATGATCGCCGCCGGGAGTCGGTCCTTCTCCCGATCCAAAACGCAGAAGAACCGCACCCCGTTCTTCAGAACCGAACCCTGCGATGGCGAGCTGCATCTTTTGGAAGAAAACGGACGCCGCGGCGAGATGAAGAGGCGAAGGGGCGGCCATGAGGCGTTGGCGGCTCTCAATGCTCCTCAGAACTCAGAAACCTGGTAAAAGGCGCGCGCGCCCCTGATATTCGTGCGCATTTCTGGAACGGGCAAAACAGCAGTGTCCCAGAGCATGTTAAATGTCCTTTGTCGAATTTTGTGCTCTCTGCCTCGGTGTCCTTGGTCAGCACCATACCAACGTCCTGCGACAGCAGCAGCGTTGCGACAAGTCTGAAGCAGCTCGATCTTCGAGAGACGAAAGACAAGATCAGGCTCGGTCCATTCGGTAATGGCCCGGCGGTAGGTTCACTGTCGACCTCTCCATGTCAGACACAACCTCGTCATGCAGCCTGATTTCTCTGAAGATTCTCATGAGCCCTGTATCTTCAGCCTTCCAATGCGCGGAAAGCGCTCGGACCTTGGATTGATGCACGTGCGAGAGCCCTGCCAAGCGCAAGATGTGAGACACATGTGCAGAGCAACAAGGAGCACACTTGGACATGGTGCAGACCTCGCATTGCAGATGAAATCGCGTTAGACACGCACGTGCAATTAGATGGCGCTTCGCTACCCAACCTCCTACGGAGGCTACATGGCCCCGATGTACAGAGCGCAGGGTCCCGACAGGCTGGCGTCTCTTTGTGCTGTTGCAAGACTCTATGACCTGCACCGAGGCTCAGGTTTCATGGACCTTGGCCCGGTCCTTTCGTCTTGCCAAAGACCCGGCCTTGTCCAACTCAAAGAGCGTCGGATGACGCACCTGAGCAGATCTGAACAGCTTGACATGCTGGCGGCAGTTTTGATAACCCTGACAGTACCCTTATGGTACCTGGCTAGTAGCCGGGAGTATATGCTCCGGCACCTTGGGAAAAAGTTCAGAGGCCGGTACTGCAAGCATGGCTGCAGCCGGTTGGACAATGGAAGGATGGACTTATTACCTGCTTGAAAGCGTGCAGTAAAAATTAGACGCAAGTGCATGCTGCGTGCGAATGTGCTCGTGACGGCGACTGCAGATGTCTGCATCCACTGTGCCTCTACGTAGCAGCCGTGTTTAATCATTCTATGTCATACTAGTAGAAGCTTGCATGGGGGTCTTATTGGGTTGGGCTCTTGGCACTCTTGGCCTCGGATGGCCTGGGGACCCTTCGAGCCAACCATTCGGCAGAACCTACGGCACAGACTGCTCTGCACTCCGGTGCTCCGGTGGTTCTGTCTCTCGAAGCTACAAGATGAGGATGAAAGAAGCGCTTGTTTGAATGACTCCAGTACCGGCGAGCCAGTCGTTTGGATCTCAGCCTGCTGAGGTCTTTGACTCGTGGACAAGTTCGCAACCGCAAGGGCGGAAAAAGGAGGAACACACAGAATAAGCTTACAAAGAGCTACAAAGTGCCGGCTTCAGAATACAGTGACAATCATTGAAGTGCAGCCACACGAGTTCGGCAAAGAGAGTTAATTGATCAACGGTGCCCGCTGCTGCATACGGCACTGGGCTAAGAAAGAGGATTCGCATGCTCTTGGCATGGATCAGAAACTGACTACTAAATGTGTCCGGAAAGAATCGCAAACGACCGACACCCAACTGCACACATACAGCGCTGCTAGGCTAAACGACGTCAGCGGCTTCGAAAGCTTCGAAGCTCAGCCATCGCTATCCTCCTCACATGCCTGCAGAGACAGCAGAGCCCCAAGTCCCACATCCCACATGGTGTTTTTCCGTGCCAGGGCCTTTGAATCGCCACCGGAGGATGCAGCAGCAGCCTGCCGGCAAGAGACCAACTGAAGCTCTGAGCTCCAGCTCTGCACGCTCCAGTTCTTTTGCTGCGGCATAGGGTATTGAAACCTGGAAATGCAGAGGTCGCCTAAGGCGTAAAGAGTAAGTCCGGACATGACATTGCATGTGGACAGCACCTCTACAGCTGGCGTCGATGCTGGCACGGGCTCTTGTAGCCCACTAGATGCTGAGTGGCATGAGTGGAATATGGTCCGGCGGGCGTGTGGCGAAGTACGTTGCAGGCGACGTTTCGCTAGCCGCCCACTTCCTGATATCAATTCTGTTTGGGGCTTGCCGGTTCGGTCCCGTGGAACCCCGTGGAGAAATGGAGAGGTGCCCTGCTTCCTTGCCAAGCGTCTGTAGCTCTTCCACGTCCGCCTTCCTCATGCCCAACTCAAGTGCTTGCCGTCCACGCTCTTTGCTCAGCAAGTTGGTAGTCAGCAGGTCCTGACATGCTCTCCACAGCTATTGGCTATGCTGTGGCAGCTAACCGGCGAGCCCTCTACTTGCTGTTTGCATCTCAGCGTCATGCAGAAGCTTCGGCGGTGCTTCCTCATCCATTCGGGGCAGAAGCAGCTTCTGGTAGTCTTCAGCCTTCAAAGTGGCCTTACGCTATCCAAGCAGGCATCGCAATGAGTCTGTTGTGGTTTTCTTGCACACTTAGTGGCCAATCCTTCTGATTCAAGATAAGTTGCCATAAAGACGAAGCCTGCCCAGAAGCCCTTCTTGGCTGAGATCTCAGCAGCCAGCTTCTGCTCCCAAGCCAGGAACACCGGAGAAGGCATCTGACTTCCTGTGCAGATATTTTCCTTGCGCGATGGGCCGAGACAAAACGAGACCGCATCTATCTTGCATGGCCAACGCCTCACTGATGCCAAGTGACGAACGGATGCAGCAGAAATCTTTGCACCGCAAACCGACTCTCTTCGTCCAAATTGAATATCGACACCTCGAGGGGACGCATTCAACTGACTCAGTCTATCCCTGCGAACGCCGAAGGCCAGCCAAGGACGTGGCCATCGACATGGCAAAGCTGATCAGTCTGAACCTCGGGCAGCGGGAAAACAGAGGCTGCCAGAATAGCACGAAACGATTTACATGTATGTCTCGATGACAACTTGCTCACACTCACAGCTGGCAGATCGGATGCTTCTGCCGGCTACTCAGGAGCACCCATTTGTGTGAACACGGGATTAATCGAGTGTTGTCACTCTGTCTTCATGACAACTCTCTACGAGAATTTGTAAGAAAATATCTGACAGGACCGACATCCGAACAAGAAGCGACAGCCCTGTGCCCCCCGAAACTTTCCACTGGTGCCTACGTCTGCATGCCGTCACTTTCGCACTGAGCTGAAAGCAGGACCGACCGCATGCATCTCTGCGCGCGGACGCCGAAGCCAGCACAGACTGAGATCATGCCAAGGTGCCACTGTTGCAAGGAGTAGTCATTAGCAAGCGTCTTCGAGACGAACTCGATTTGGGTCGTTTTGATGGCGAGCACAACGATGCCAAAGGCGCCTGACAGCATCTTCAATGGGCATGTTCCCCTTGCACTTAAAGCCCTCCTTCTGATGCTCGACATACGCCTGGAATCCTACAACTGGCTGCGACACAGCAACAGCTGTGGCTACGACACGGCACGAGCTGTCTGCCATAACCCGCAACCACTCCGCATTTCACTGCTCAGGCTTTGTTTCACCCTCCCCTGCCTGCAGCTATGTACCCGAGAGCCTCGAACGGGGCCATGACGTACTGCATCTTCGGGTTAAAGAACAGCTTGCCTTGGTCATGCGAGTGCACCAGGCCGCTGGGCCAAAGCTTGGCAAAGACTTCACGCCGGAGCTGCATTCCTTCGTCACCCGCGTAACGCGCTGGGAGAGTCGGGACAGCGAGATATTGCGCAGCAGCCTGAGATTAAAACGCATGAGAGCGCCGAAAAGCTACAGGGTACGGCCGGTCATGGGAGCTAAGTCTTACCCCGCTCCACGTGTTCACTAACTGCTGCAGTGGCACTGCATGGACGACCAGCTCGCAATGTCTTCGGCAGCATTGGCGAGAATCAGGCCCATGTATGAAAGGTTGGGAGTCTGTGTCCACATCATCAACCTGATAAATCACACAGTCTCCGCAAAAGACCGGCTGCTTTGCAAAAGCAAGACGTTGAAATCATGCACCTGTAGACGAGAACACTCCAAAACCATCCCAGCGCAATCAGCTCGAAATAGGCCATGTAATATCTCATCTGATTGAGTGGCCTTCGATTGAAAAACGCGAACCCGCATCTCTCACAGTCCGGGACCCACATGCAACACACCTCATCCACAAGGCAGAACTTACGCACATTTGGCGGCGCCAGCGCTCCGGCCAAGAGGCTCTTGCGGATGGCGTGGCGGCAATGACTTCAAGTTTAGATACATTCCTGGCCGACAGGGCCGACATGGCCCCATTTGCAGTCTGCAAGTTGCGCCACTTTCTCCCTAAGCACATGAGATTGGCCTCCTGTGGTGATGAACATCCGAATCAGCAGTGCCAGCATGGAGAGGCCACGCATCGTCAAATCTTTAGAAACGAGAGCCTCGAGCTGGGACGTGTCCATCGCGCCTGAGCAAAGAGGATGCGGTCAACACGGGCCCACGCAAAGCAAGAAGGAAGCGAGAGGGCAGGGGAGGGAGAAAGTGAATCAAAGGCACACAGCTGTCCTAAGAGAGCATGAGAACCGGAACGAAACTTACAGTTATACCTTACCTGTCCGGGGCCGATAGTCGAACTCCACAGGTTGGGCATGCAAAGCTCACTTGGCAGAATGCAGGCTTCGCGATGGACCGACACAAGCAAACCATCTGCTTGACCTTGCAGCCTCCCAGTTCTCGGACAGATGGACATCAATTGACTTCTCACGACAGTGGTCCCCTGAGGGGCATATTAGACATGCCGCCGCCCTGCACAAGTCCAGGGAAGAAAACATCCTTGCCCAAAGTCGTGAAGTAAAAGTAAAGCTCCTCCTTGGTTGGCAAAACGAACTACAGCACGTGCACAGACGCTTCAACAGCACAGCCTGTTCGATTTGACAAGGTTCGTATCTGTCTGGACCAAGCATGAGAGCTTCCCTCGCCACACGATTGCTGCCTTCTTGTACAAGAATGAGTGCATCCATGGCGGCCTCGCTACAAATGTTGGTGTGTGGAGCAACATACTAGCTACCGTGAGTCATGAGAGTTGGCGTGGCATGCCGTTCTGGAGCCACTTGCCTGCCAGACAGTAGCGAAGAAGAAGAGCTTCAAGACCACGTCCAGCCATAGAGCATTACGGTCCAAGAATTTGACCCCGTCAACCTCTGATGCAAAATGATCATACAGCAGCTGATTGGCGAAGTCATACAACCTTAGCTGGGTGACAGAACTGCCGTCTACGAGTCGTTCATGCAACGTGAATTCACTCGGCTACGCCATTGCTGACGAGCCTGCACAGCTTATATCTGATCCCAGGGACGGATAGACCACAACCAGCCATGTCACAGCACCCAGCAGTTTTAGCCATTGAACGCCAGACATGGCTCTGCCAAGGATTTAGAAGTCTGCGGTCTTCGAAGGACTTTAGAAACTAGAAGTGCTTCGAGTTTTACGAGCTGCTGCTCGACTGCGACGCGTAGGGTCTGGTGGGGTTTACCCGATGTGTTTCTGCAAACCTTTTGTGTTGCAGGCTGTGTGCCTGTTCTGTTGGATGTGATCACACACCTGCCATGAGCAACAGCTCAACTTGTCTGACTCAGTTGTGTCTTGCACAGATGGCGTCTGGTGCACCGAGAAGTGCACGACGTGCTTTCTGTGACTGATCACTTTGCCTTGAGCTCCTTGATCTTCTTCCGCTTTCTTCTCTTGATCTCCCCTTTGCGGCAGAGATGGCAGTATGGGCAGTCGTCACCTTGGACAGTCTGCAAAAGTGACATCAGAGGAACATAAATTCTGGCTACAGGGACAGCAGTATATCCAAAACCTGAGCATCCGTGCTGTTGCGGCATCCATCTGGCTTGTACAAAAAGTATGCGCAGGGCCTCAGATTGCCACAGTTCCATGGCCTGAGGTCTAAAGTCATCCGTGCTGCGACTGCGGATGAAACACCTTCGGAACAAGATATAAACCATGGGCCCCACTTGCACTCGCCCCGATTGTGCGCAGCTTCCATGTTGGGCCACCTTGTGATGGGTTAAGGACTGGTCCGCAGGCTGCCGCAGGCATGTCATGAACCGGGGCCGTGGCTTGGTGCGCCATGCAGTGACACACATCACAGTGGGTGCAGACTGCCAGGGATCTGAGCCAAGGCGTTTTGTGGGGGCGCGCCGTTTCACTGACGGCGCTCCGAGGCGGCGGCTGTCGGTGTCGTCTTCGGAGGTCATGGAGGACATGACAGGTAGGTTGTAGAAGGTGTTCTTGATCTGACGGAGGAGCATTTCAGCATTGCTCAACTGCAATATATTAGTTGGAAGAGAGCCTCCAGCTGAGAAGTCAGATCCTAGGAGTCCATCTGTGCATGCACAGCCACGTCACCAAGGTTAGCTCTCTGTCAGAAGCAGCTGAGGAGTGCACTACCTTGCCCAGGAAAACGTCCTCTTGCAACTGCTCATCATAGTCATCCGACTCATCCTGCCAAAATCACGCACAGAGGGAAGCATGACACTTCACATGCCTCTGCACGGCTCCAGACACTGATGCGACATGCGCAGAGTGGCACAACACACTAGGCTTCAGGCGGCCCAGTCCGTCAAGGGCCTCAAGACCAACTGCACTTGATTCAATAGCCCGAACCACAACCGCACTTTCTGCTTGAAGTTAAGGCGACGTCGTGGGCAATGGCACCTCCATTGCTGCCTGTTGTGCAGCAGATGCCTCAACTGCCAGTCATATCTAAATGATTCTGCAATCGCACATCTGAGGTTCTGGCCATCTCCTCATCCGGCTTTTGGGGGGCCGAGGATGAGGACGAAGCACCTGAAACAGTGTTGAGCCCAGGACAATCTGCAAGAATATTCTTCTTTGCATCGACAATCGGCCTCCTTGAGATGTCAGATCCCTCGACCCCCGAGACCTGCGCAATTGCGAATCGAGTCTTGCCTGCTCCAAACAAAACCTTTTTGGGGGGCTGTTGCATACAGTGACGATGATCACTGTGATCTAAGATCTGCTTCAAGCTAGTGTAACCTGTCCTGGAAATGACGACCGCGGGCGCTAAAATCACGCAGGCTACAAGTCAAGATCTGCCCCCAAATCCCTTCTTCCATGTTCTGGCGGCTTGTAGCCTCGAGGCCAGAAACCACAGGCTGGTAACTTACCTACTTGCTTTCCTACTCATGTAGGTACGTACGTACTTACTTACTTGCTCAGTCTGTCATGTCACCCCAGAGACCGTCAGTCCGTCTGTCCGTCTGTCTGTCTGTCTGTCTGTCTGTCTCAATGCTTGATTGCTTGTTTGCTTGATCAACTGCTTAGAATTCTAGTTCTCTAGCTAGGTGATTAGTTAGATTAGCTGGCTGGCTAGTTTGTTATATTGTTACTTAGTTAGTTGGCTAGTTAGCTCGTTCACTAGATAGTTAGCTGGTTGGTTGGTTAGTTAATTGGTTAGTTGGTTAGCGGGTTAGTTGGGTAGTTGGCTTGTTATCAATTTATTTAGCTACTTAGCTGGGTAGGTAGGTAGGTAGGTAAGCAGGCAGGCAGGCAGGCAGGCAGGCAGGTCGGTCGGTCGGTCGGTAGGTCGGTGGGTCGGTAGGTAGGTCGGTAGGTAGGTCGGTAGGTAGGTCGGTAGGTAGGTCGGTAGGTAGGTCGGTAGGTAGGTCGGTAGGTGTTAGTTAGGTAGTTAGCTAGCTTGCTGGTTAATTGGTTCGTTGGGTAGTTCGTTCGTTTGCTCCTTTGTTCGGTTGTTCGGTTGTTCGTTTGTGTTTGTTCGTTCGTTTGTTCGTTGGTTGGTTAGCTAGCTATTTCGTTCGTTCATGTGTGAACATGTCGTGAGAGCATATCTGGCATGCCACATCTTGAGACCCAGCACCTGACCGTACCCAGCAATCATTGCAAGCTTCATTGGTTCTTCCCTCTCCAAGCATCTTCACATATCATGTAAAAGCCATGCACCTGGAAAAGAAGCTTTCGACGAAGCTGGACATCTGTTCAAGGACCGTCCAGGGCGAACAGCGTGAGCACGTGAGTGTCCAGTGGGCTGTGTGGGGTTTGTTGGGCCCACGTGGATCACGCTGTCGGCGTGTCTGCTTGCAGGGGTAAGCGATATGATGCTTTGCACGTGGATGGTCTTTGTCCTTGAGCCTGAAAGCCATCAGACAGCCTGCACAGTCGAGACACGAACCTGGCTCAAGTGATGGATGTAAAGACCCCATGGTATGTAAGCCATGAGTCAGATGCTATGCCAACATCTTCACAGGCAGGTCGCCTTCATCCCCCATCGGAAGTTGACCCAGGTCTGCCGCGTGACCATCCCTATACTATGTCCATATGAAGGGTGCCGGCGATCAGAAATGCGTCCATGCAGCTTGCCAACTTCGTCATCTCGGCCGTGCTTTCTGTTTCGCAGACGCGCTAGCATGCAAGTCAGGATGGACTGTCCACAAGAAGTGAATTCTAACTCCACACCGAGCCTTACCGCGGCGGCATGCCGCCGAAGACCCACAACCCGTCCGACACGGCTATCTTACACCGCCACGCAACGCAAACACGATGTCTCCACTGACAATCAACATCAACCCGTCCCCAAGTCAAGCCGCCCCACGCTTCGCGGGGGTCAGCCCGAGTAATATAGACAAACCAGGAACAGATCGAATGGTCTGTGAAGTGCTGAAGCGCATGTTTACAGCGACATCTGTCGGCATGAGGACTTGATCTGCGTCACTTGCACTCTACTATCTCTAGGCTCGCGCTACCTTGTAAAATGCCAGCCACATGGGTGACTATGATAGGCTAGCTTGCTTTCATATCAGACTTTCAGTGAACATCGTAGTTTACACTAGACGAGATGGTTCATCATCTTCCCTTGAGGAAGAAGTGAAACGCGTTGTGGGACTCTGCAGCCTCGGCTACAGCTGGAACCTCAGAGACAGGATGAGTCTGGAAGTGAGTAAACTTGAAAAGCAGCTGAGATTGGAACTGCCACTGTTCCGAACCATCGTCACTCTCTTCTGTCGCGATCATGCCAGGAAATACTGCCTCAGATTGTGCCCAAATGTCTGAATTCGGAATGCGTTCCTTCTGAAGGTCGTCTTTTGCCCCACTTGTTCTGCACGGCAAGTAGCCTGGTCTCTGAGCTCATTCTCCTGTCAGGGAACAACTACACCGTTGTAGTCCGTTCCACCGGCCAGCGCGCATCCTGAGCATCACAAAGCACGAGCCTGGATCACGAGCTTGCGCTTCGCAGCGCTGCTCCATGTGAAATCAGCACGTGCGGAAGCCTTGGCTGCTTCTGCACCGCTTTGCCCTGGGAAGTGGATTGTCGTATTCGGCTCCCTGCCTCCGTTAGGCCTTTCAGCTCACCAGCCAGAATTCGACCCACCTCAGCATGAGCTTGCCATGCCTATGAAAGCTGGCATACTGTGAAACTGAGGTCGCCACCTGATTGAGCCTTGCCTGGATCAGATCTGCTTGGTGGTTCATGCGCCTGCAAAACGAATAGGCGGTTAACCACAGAATCTCTCACCGGGGCGCTGCAAAGCCAGAACAGTTCTCCGCCTCACACTGCTATCCCAAGATGCACAATGCTGGATGCTAGATACCAGACGGCTCAAGTTATCACGGGCCTCATCCTTTCGACCCACAGCTTCGAGAGCTTCTTGTTCTTGTCCAAGATGGTAATGAGCCGGCAAAGATCGGCTCCTGCATGAGGCAAGCCGCTTGAAAAATTCCCTGTAGATCCGAATCGCCGGGGTCCTTTCGCTTGTCCCTTGACCTTCCAAAGCTGATGCAAGGATGCCCAAGCAGCGAACAGAGTCAGTTCACAAGCCTTAAAGAGGCCACTCAAGAACTCGATCGGGCTCAATGCCCCGCTCCTGAAACTCAGCACGCTGCCAACCCAAGTTGCCCGAAGCTGAGACCGCATGGACAGATTTAGAGCAACTGAAATGCAGGCACAGCTGCTTGTCCACATCCATCATCTCGAACCTGAACAAGCACATGTTGTACAGCAAGGGAAGACGGGGGCCTCAGGCAGAGCTAATTCGAGGAGCATATTCTCGGCTTCGACCGCCCCAACATCCAAGAACTTGAGCTTCTCCGTCATGGCCGGGGTCCTCTCCAGACTCTGGGTTACTCCATGGGTCCATGACAGCAAAATCAGCAAAAGAGGCCAAGAGCCCTCGCCATCCTCAGCACCTTCCGGAACTCTTTCAAGTCCAGCTCGCCGTTGAAATCGGTGTCGCAATCCTTGGGCCCGAAGACAAGGGAGCGTGATGTCCCGGCACCTCTCTTCATGCGTAGGAGCAGCATCGAACTCTTTCAGCATGGACATCATGAGAAGCTTCTCCGTCTTGGCCACCAAGGCAATCTTGCTCTCCTGCCGGAAA